ATATATATATATATATATATATATATATATAATATATATAATATATATATATATATTATTAACACACTGGCCGATTCCCACCAAGGCAGGGTGGCCCGAAAAAGAAAAACTTTCACCATCATTCACTCCATCACTGTCTTGCCAGAAGGGTGCTTTACACTACAGTTTTTAAACTGCAACATTAACACCCCTCCTTCAGAGTGCAGGCACTGTACTTCCCATCTCCAGGACTCAAGTCCGGCCTGCCGGTTTCCCTGAACCCCTTCATAAATGTTACTTTGCTCACACTCCAACAGCACGTCAAGTATTAAAAACCATTTGTCTCCATTTACTATCAAATACGCTCACGCATGCTTGCTGGAAGTCCAAACCCCTCGCACACAAAACCTCCTTTACCCCCTCCCTCCAACCTTTCCTAGGCCGACCCCTACCCCGCCTTCCTTCCACTACAGATTTATACACTCGAAGTCATTCTGTTTCGTTTCATTCTCTCCACATGTCCGAACCACCTCAACAACCCTTCCTCAGCCCTCTGGTCAACAGTTTTGGCAATCCCGCACCTCCTCCTAACTTACAAACTACGAATTCTCTGCATTATATTCACACCACACATTGCCCTCAGACATGACATCTCCACTGCCTCCAGCCTTCTCCTCGCTGCAACATTCATCACCCATGCTTCACACCCATATAAGAGCGTTGGTAAAACTATACTCTCATACATTCCCCTCTTTGCTTCCACGGACAAAGTTCTTTGTCTAAACAGACTTCTTAGTGCACCGCTCACCCTTTTTCACTCATCAATTCTATGATTCACCTAATCTTTCATAGCCCCATCTGCTGACACGTCCACTCCCAAATATCTGAATACATTCACCTCCTCCATACTCTCTCCCTCCAATCTGATATCCAATCTTTCGTTAGCTAAGCTTTTTATCCTCATAACCTTATTCTTTCCAATATTAACTTTTAATTTTCTTCTTTTACATACCCTAACATTATATATATATATATATATATATATATATATATATATATATATATATATATATATATATATATATATATATGTATATATATATATATATAAATGTGTGTGTGTGTGTGTGTGTGTGTGCGCGCAATAATCACGAACAAGCGATACAAGATGTAAAACAACCACAGGAGTTGAATGATAACGCTAGGCCTTTCGTGTTTCAATCAACACATCATCAGGAGCTTGTAATGTTGCAGAAATAGAGTAGGAAATCTACGAAGGTCTGTTTATTATATATATATATATATATATATATATATATATATATATATATATATATATATATAATATAATATAAATATATATATATATATATATATATATATAAATATAAATATATATATATATATATATATATATATATATATATATATATTATATATATATATATATATATGGTGGAATGATGAAGTAAAGGGTGTGATAAAAGAGAAAAAGGTAGCTTACGAGAGGTTTTTACAAAGCAGAAGTGTTATAAGAAGGCAGAGTATATGGAGAGTAAAAGAAAGGTGAAGAGAGTGGTGAGAGAGTGCAAAAGGAGAGCAGATGAAAGAGTGGGAGAGGCACTGTCAAGAAATTTTAATGAAAATAAGAAACAATTTTGGAGTGAGTTAAACAAGTTAAGAAAGCCTAGGGAAAGTATGGATTTGTCCGTTAAAAACAGAGTAGGGGAGTTAGTAGATGGGGAGAGGGAGGTATTGGGTAGATGGCGAGATTATTTTGAGGAACTTTTAAATGTTGAGGAAGAAAGGGAGGCGGTAATTTCATACACTGGCCAGGGAGGTATACCATCTTTTAGGAGTGAAGAAGAGCAGAATGTAAGTGTGGTGGAGGTACGTGAGGCATTACGTAAAATGAAAGGGGGTAAAGCAGCTGGAACTGATGGGATCATGACAGAAATGTTAAAAGCAGGGGGGATATAGTGTTGGAGTGGTTGGTACTTTTGTTTAATAAATGTATGAAAGAGGGGAAGGTACCTAGGGATTGGCAGAGAGCATGTATAGTCCCTTTATATAAAGGGAAAGGGGACAAAAGAGATTGTAAAAATTATAGAGGAATAAGTTTACTGAGTATACCAGGAAAAGTATACGGTAGGGTTATAATTGAAAGAATTAGAGGTAAGACAGAATGTAGAATTGCGGATGAGCAAGGAGGTTTCAGAGTGGGTAGGGGATGTGTAGATCAAGTGTTTACATTGAAGCATATATGTGAACAGTATTTAGATAAAGGTAGGGAAGTTTTTATTGCATTTATGGATATAGAAAAGGCATATAATAGAGTGGATAGAGGAGCAATGTGGCAGATGTTGCAAGTTTATGGAATAGGTGGTAAGTTACTAAATGCTGTAAAGAGCTTTTATGAGGATAGTGAGGCTCAGGTTAGGGTGTGTAGAAGAGAGGGAGAATACTTCCCGGTAAAAGTAGGTCTTAGACGGGGATGTGTAATGTCACCATGGTTGTTTAATATATTTATAGATGGGGTTGTAAAAGAAGTAAATGCTAGGGTGTTCGGGAGAGGGGTGGGATTAAATTATGGGGAAATCAATTCAAAATGGGAATTGACACAGTTACTTTTTGCTGATGATACTGTGCTTATGGGAGATTCTAAAGAAAAATTGCAAAGGTTAGTGGATGAGTTTGAGAATGTGTGTAAAGGTAGAAAGTTGAAAGTGAACATAGAAAAGAGTAAGGTGATGAGGGTATCAAATGATTTAGATAAAGAAAATTGGATATCAAATTGGGGAGGAGGAGTATGGAAGAAGTGAATGTTTTCAGATACTTGGGAGTTGATGTGTCGGCGGATGGATTTATGAAGGATGAGGTTAATCATAGAATTGACGAGGGAAAAAAGGTGAGTGGTGCGTTGAGGTATATGTGGAGTCAAAAGACGTTATCTATGGAGGCAAAGAAGGGAATGTATGAAAGTATAGTAGTACCAACACTCTTATATGGATGTGAAGCTTGGGTGGTAAATGCAGCAGCGAGGAGACGGTTGGAGGCAGTGGAGATGTCCTGTCTAAGGGCAATGTGTGGTGTAAATATTATGCAGAAAATTCGGAGTGTGGAAATTAGGAGAAGGTGTGGAGTTAATAAAAGCATTAGTCAGAGGGCAGAAGCGGGGTTGTTGAGGTGGTTTGGTCATTTAGAGAGAATGGATCAAAGTAGAATGACATGGAAAGCATATAAATCTATAGGGGAAGGAAAGAGGGGTAGGGGTCGTCCTCGAAAGGGTTGGAAAGAGGGGGTAAAGGAGGTTTTGTGGGCGAGGGGTTTGGACTTCCAGCAAGCGTGCATGAGCGTGTTAGATAGAAGTGAATGGAGACGAATGATACTTGGGACCTGACGATCTGTTGGAGTGTGAGCAGGGTAATATTTAGTGAAGGGATTCAGGGAAACCCGGGTTATTTTCATATAGTCGGACTTGAGTCCTGGAAATGGGAAGTACAATGCCTGCACTTTAAAGGAGGGGTTTGGGATATTGGCAGTTTGGAGGGATATGTTGTGTATCTTTATATGTGTATGTTTCTAGACTGTTGTATTCTGAGCACCTCTGCAAAAGCAGTGATAATGTGTGAGTGTGGTGAAAGTGTTGAATGATGATGAAAGTATTTTCTTTTTGGGGATTTTCTTTCTTTTTTGGGTCACCCTGCCTCGGTGGGAGACGGCCGACTTGTTTGAAAAATATATATATATATATATATATATATATATATATATATATATATATATATATATATATATATATATATATATATATATATATATATATATATATATATATGTCGTGCCGAATATGTAAAACTTGCGATCTTGGCTTAAATAGCAACGTTCATCTTGCCATATAAGACAAGCGAAAATTTGTGTATGCAATAATTTCACAAAAATCATCTTGAACCTAACAAAATAAATATATTTCACTGCGTTTGTTTAGTATTAAATTATTGTAAACGTATTTAGAATATATTTAGTTGGGTTAGGCTAAAATAAATTTCACTTGTTATAATAAGGTTAGGTAAGTTTTCTAAGTTTCTTTTGGTGCAAAATTAAAAATTTTTACATTACCATTAATGAAAAAAATATATTTTTAAACCTATAAAAGAATATTTTGGAAAGGACTTAATTTTAAATGAGTTCTTGCTAATTGACCAGTTTTACATATTCGGCACGACACACACACACACACACACACATATATATATATATTTATATATATATATATATATATATATATATATATATATATATATATATATATATATACATATATATATCCTAGGTAGTAGGTTGGTAAACAGCAACCGCCCAGGGAGGTACTACCGTCCTGCCAAGTGAGTGTACAACGAAAACCTGTAATTGTTTTACATGATGGTGGGACTGCTGGTGTCCTTTTTTCTGTCTCATAAATATGCAAGATTTCAGGTACGTCTTGTTACTTCTACTTACACTTAGGTCACACTACACATACATGTACAAGCATATATATACACACCCCTCTGGGTATTCTTCTATTTTCTTTCTAGTTCTTGTTCTTGTTTATTTCCTCTTATCTCCATGGGGAAGTGGAACAGAATTCTTCCACCGTAAGCCATGCGTGTTGTAAGAGGCGACTAAAATGCCGAGAGCAAGGGGCTAGTAACCCCTTCTCCCGTATAAATTACTAAATTTAAGAGAAACTTTCGTTTTTCTTTTTGGGCCACCCTGCCATGGTGGGATACGGCCGGTGTGGTGAAAGAGATATATATATATATATATATATATATATATATATATATATATATATATATATTATATATATATATATATATATATTATATATATATATATATGGTTGTCAGTATTGTTTGACTTTCAATATGGATAACTGGATACGGGTCAGTAACTCGTGACGTCACATGTACAAAATCAACACTGGCCTCTTACCGGGTTTGCTAATACTGAGGGAAATAATAGTGAGGTGATATTACCTGGTCTGGTGGTGGTGCGTCTTGAGCGAGACGTGGTGGAGGTGGTCATGCAGGTGGTCCTGATGGTCGTGCAGGTGGTCTTGTAGGTGGTCCTGGTGGTCATGCAGGTGGTCCTGGTGGTCGTGTAGGTGGTCCTGGTGGTCGTGTAGGTGATCCTGGTGGTCGTGGAGGTGGTCCTGGTGGTCGTGGAGGTGGTCTTGTTCGTCGTCATCGTTGTCGTCACTCTTGGCTTCATCTGTGGTGCCGTCGCTGCCGCCGCTGCCACCACGTCTGGCAGGGGAGAGAACACAACAGCCTCAACAACACACAATACACAACACAAAGGCACAATACTGTGACTGGAATAATACACAAATAACCAAGTCGGACCGAAACGTCGTCATGAGTTTCTGCCTCCTACGTGCGTGTTGTGTTCCATCACTAAACTTCAGACGCGAGAAACTTTATCAAGTACAGGAATAATACGTACTTTTTAGACACGTCTTAATAGGCTTGAACCTTCATCAAAGATGTTTATATTTCTCCCCTCAGATCAACCAATATTATTCCTACTTTACGGCTAAGACTGGTCACAGATCGGGTCGTGGGGGGCGTTGACCCCCGGAACACCTTCCAGGTATGCTCCAGGTACGTACAATAGTTTTTTTTTTAAACACCTGTATTCGTAATAGAGGCCCAAAATACTCTGCAGCAGGGTTAAGCTCTATCTCTCAACCCCTCGTGACGTTCCTCTCACAAAGCCTAGTCTATCTCGTTTATTTCATCCTTCAAGCTGTATCTACCACAACGGTCCTTACTCAACACGAACCCGAGTTTCGTGTACTTTTCCTGTTCTTGATATATTTCTTGTACGTGAAAATTATTAATAATAGACATTCTTATTTTGAAGACTATTTTGCTCGCATTATTACTCTGATTATTATTATTATTATTATTATTATTATTATTATTATTATTATTATTATTATTGTCATGAAATGGATCCAGGAAATAAAAATCACGGGAAAAAAGTCACAGAAAAAAAAGCCAGAAATGGGTGACCCCGTGGCCTGGCTGGCAAAGCTCTCGCTTCACACAGGGAGGACCCGGGTTCAATTCCCGGCGGGGTAGGAACATTTCGACGTGTTTCCTTACACCTGTTCACCTAGCAGCAAGTAGGTACCTGGGTGTTAGTTGACTGGTGTGGGTGGCATCCTGGGGGACAAGATTGAAGACCACGATGACGCACTGATTTTCTTGGGTTATCCTGGGTGGCTAACCCTCCGGGGTTAAAAATCCCAGCGAAATCTTATCTTAAAGAAGTCACAGAAAAAGTCACAGGGAAAAAAAAAGTCACAGAAAGAGTCAACCTAACTTAATAAAACGTAAAAATTTTTCCTAGCCAAAATCGTGACTTATTGTCTGTGACTTTTTTTCCCGGAGACCCATGAAATGCGCCCAACCCGTACGAGCTATGAACCCAGGATAACCCAATGAAGCCAGTCAGGGGAGTCTACCTGGAGGTTATTCCGGGGATCAACGCTCCCGCGGCTCGGTCCACGACCAGGCCTCCCGGTGGATCAGGGCCTGATCAACCAGGCTGTTACTGCTGGCCGCACATAGTCCAACGTACGAACCACAGCCCGGCTGATCCGGCACTGATCCCCCAGGATGCAACCCACAGCAGTGGGTTGACACCCAGGCACCTACTTACTGCTAGGCGGACAGGGACAGCAGGAGTAAGGAAACGTGCCCAATCGTTTGCACCAGTCCCCTCTCCCTGCTGGGAACTAGGGTATCCTAGTACCCAGCAGCATCAGTAACACAACAGTATCTTCCGTTTCTCAGCACCTATAATTGTCCAGTACCCCATATATTGAGTGGGCAGCCGCCAGTACCCGATATATGAAGTAGGCGGCCGCCAGTACCCGATATACTGATTGGAGCTACCGCCAGTATCCGATATATTGAATGAGCGGCCACCACTACACGATGCACTGAGTGTGTGTCAAGATAAACACATCAAGGAAAGCAGAAATCAGAATGAGTGGGAGGAAATCAGGTTCGATTCAAGGAAGGGAAACTCCAATTTCCTGAATTAACAGACCTTAACCAACATCAAGGCAGTCCGAATAACGTAAAAAAAAAGTTTATTTTTAATACGTGAGATCTTGAGTGAGAAATATACATCATAAACGGAAGACTGAAGTGGTAATTGTTATAATAATAATAATAATAATAATAATAATAATAATAATAATTTTATTTCAGAATGATATAATATTTGTACAGAGATGGGTGACATTTACTTGTGCATGCAAAAAGCCCTTAGTTATGCTGTAAGACGAGGCTATGGGACGAGCCTGTGAAGAGACGAGGCTATGAGACTAAGACTGTGAGACGAGGCTATGAAACAAGGCTGTGAGACAAGGCTGTGTGAAGAGACTGTAAGACGAGGTTGTGAGAAGATACTGTGAGACGAGGCTATGAGACAAGGCTGTAAGAGAGATGAGGCCATGAGACAGGGCTGTGTGTGTGAAGGGATGGTGAAAACAATATACGCAACAATTATTAGGCAACACCAGACAAGTCTCTCTCTCTCTCTCTCTCTTGCTCCACCCCTGACCTAAATGACTTAGATTTTCCAGGCACCCAGTAATTGCACCTTTTCCCGTAGCAACACACAACACACACACCACACACACACAACATTTAAATTACCACCACCTCCTGCCAACCTTCATCATATCTACATTTCTCTTCATCTAAAACCACAGCAAAGTAACACTTTTAGTTCCGTTCCTTCCTGCTTAAGAGAGCAGCGGCGGGACAAACTGTTACGAAATGTTCCAAACGCAGTTTTCCGGACATTTGCCTCGATTCAGCTAACTAGAGGCTGTTGTCAAGCTGCAGAGGAAAGTAATGGTGGTCCTCCGCTGCTGAATCCCTGGACCGTGAGTGGCTACGAATGAAGCCTTAATCAGCCAATCAGCGAGCCTCAACTGTCCGCCAAACCGGAATAACAACATTACGGAGGTAGTGGCCATCCAGGCTACGAAAATATTATTTTGTGTCCCACGTCTTCAAAGTGAACTTCTTCACACACACACACACACACACACACACACACACACACACACACACAGCTGAAAGTTGAAGACTCAGATGAATCACAGGGATGTTAGGAAGTATTTCTTCAGTCAGAGAGTAGTCAGGAAGTGGAATAGTCTGGGAAGCGATGTAGTGGAGGCAGGATCCATTCATAGCTTTAAGAACAGGTATGATAAAGCTCACGGTGCAGGGAAAGTGACCCAGTAGCGGCCAGTGAAGAGGCGGGGCCAGGAGCTATGAATCGACCCCTGCAACCACAACTAGGTGGGTACTGTGTACGTCAGGCCCACACTGGAGTACGCAGCACCAGTTTGGAACCCACACCGGGTCCAGCACGTCAAGAAATTAGAGAAAGTGCAAAGGTTTGTAACAAGGTTAGTTTCAGAGCAGAGGGGAATGTCCTATGAAGAAAGGTTAAAGGAAATCGGCCTGACGACACTGGAGGACAGGAGGGTTAGGGGTGACATGATAACGACATACAAAATACTGCGTGGAATAGACAAGGTGGACAGAGACAGGATGTTCCAAAGAGGGGACACAGAAACAAGGGGTCACAGTTGGAAGGTGAAGACTCAGATGAGTCAAAGGGATGTTAGGAAGTATTTCTTCAGTCAGAGAGTAGTCAGGAAGTGATGTAGCGGAGGCAGGAAGCATACATAGCTTTAAGACGAGAGAGAGGACCTAGTAGAGTTCAGTGAAGAGGCGGGGCCAGGAGCTGAGTCTCGACCCCTGCAACCACAATTAGGTGAGTACACACAAATGTCAGAAAGTGGAACAATCTGAAGTGATGTAGTGGAGACAGGATCCATACACAGCTTTAAGAAGAGATATGACAAAGTTCATGGAGCAGAGAGAGTTGACCTAGTAGCCACCAGGGAAGAGGGGGGCCAGCAGCTGTGACTCGACACCTGAAACCACAAATAGGTGAGTACACACACACACGTGTACGCAAGGTCCATGCTCGAGTACGAAGCACCAGTCTGGAACCCTTACCTGGTCATGCGCATCAAGAAATTAGAGAAAGTGTAGATACAGGTCTGCAGCAAGACTAGTCCCTGAGCTATGGGGTATGTCCTACAAGGAGAGGTTAAGGGAACTCAACCTGATGACACTGGAAGAGGGATAAGGAAGATATAATAACGACGTACAAAATACCGAGAGGAATTGACAAAGTGAACAGGGAGGAATGTTTCAGAGATGGAATGCAGGAACAAGAGGACACAACTGGAATTTGAAAACTCACATGAGTCATGGGAAAGTCAGGAAGTATTCTTCGGCCTTAGTGTTGTCAGGAAGTGGAACAATCTGGAGAGTGACAGGATCCATACACAGCTTTAAGAAGGCTCTTGGAGCCAGGAGAGAGTAGAACTAGTAGCGATGAGCGGAGAGGCAGGGCCAGGAGCTGCCTCGACCCCTACAACCAGAAATATGCGAGTACACACACACACACACACACACACACACACACACACTTTCTGATAAAATTAGAAATGTAGATACTCTGGGATATCCTTATTAGGGGATGTTCCACAAGGAGGTTAAGGACTCATCCATGACAGGAAGAATCTAAGAAGTGATGAAAGAGTACAATCCTAGAACTTGCAGTGCGAGATGTTTCAGAATGGAATCGGGAACAAGATGAAATGGAACTGAAACCACATGACTCGGAAAGTTGAGGAGATTCTGCTTACGTTTCAATCACATCTGTTCTTACAAGATTCTACTCTATGGACTAGATGAAGCACTGTGCGTGGCGAAACGGTCTCACCTCAAAAATATGAGTAACACCAAGAGTCACATGACTAACTTAACAACATGTCGTACTCTAACACACCACATCACACAACACACTTTCTGTTAATGCTTTTCTATATGGCGGAAGCATAGCAAGAAATTTTAGAATCAAGGATGAGGATGTATATAAGAAGTAACTATGAAGGAGTGAGACATTCTAAGGTACAAGTGTAACGAGGCTTAATACAGAGACAAGCCACCCAACATACAATTCAACCCTCAAGTACAAAAGAGTGATAGACAATTTGTACCAAGCTATGAGCGAATACTTAAAAGAGGCTCTGACAGAGCTCGTGGAACAATCACGCGAGCATAAAAAAATGTACAGAATGAACCGAGTGCCTGAGAAAAGGAGGAAGCTAGCAGAGAAAGTCAGAAATTATGC